AACTCATCATCTATCAAAAAAGGAAAATGATGGGAGGAATAAAATCCTATTTTTGGTGATGGTGATAGGGAGGGAGAGAGTCATCGAAGATGTGCTTTAATTCTCTTCTGAATGTTCCTTTTTATTCTCACTAAAATAAGAAGGCCGGTTTTCCTTTCATGTCTCATGATTACTTGACTGGAAACGTGCAATGATAAAACACTTTCTCAAAGAAATATCCGTACCTCACTGTTCACAGTTGTACAGACTCAACTCTGCATTGTATATACACTATTTATGTTGTGCTTTAGGACCACTCTCACCCCGTGATGTCACTATACAGATAATGTGCTATCTTGTCTATGTATTATGTCCATTCCTGAGTGAATACCTCGTGATGTCAGTCTCTAATTACGTAATATGTCTGTATGTGTCCATTCCTGACTGACTTTAATAATTTCGCAAAATCATTATTATCATTTATCATGTATGTAACTGTGGAATGTGTTTTAGTTTCTGTTGTTGCCAGCTGTTAATTCCCAAAAAATTAATTCTCAAATTACAGATGAAAATGAATTGATGTATAGATTTAGGTGGAATGTTGTGTAAGAATAGATTCCCTTTTTTTTTTGCGCTTCTTAATGATTTCTTTAAAACCTAGATGTACCGGTAGTATACATTTTTTTATGACATTGTTAACTTTATGGAGTCCCGACTATTATGTTATTATAACTTGGTTCCATTGACTCTTGGTTTCCCTGTTATTTATTCTGATCAATGTAATTTTTTTGCATTGGCATCGGTGAGCTCTCAGTCTGTTCTGTGATAGAGCTATCTGTGTGACAGCTCTGTTTTGAATAAAGAGGATGTTGAGTTTGTATGTAATAGTTTGCAGTGTGATGATGTATTTGTATAAGAAAGTGAGAAAGTACGAGAATTTTTAACAACGGGTGGTTGATGGGTGCTCTAGTGTGGTTTGCTCCTTCTTTCCTATCTAACATGTATTGTCTTTATCTCTCCTCCTTTTTTGTGTTTGTTACCCTCTAATCTTCAGCACTTTTATGACCATATTGTGTTGCAAGGGTCGTAAAACTCTTACTGACTGAAACTAAAACAAAGTGAGAAAGAGAGAATTCTTTGGTTGAAAACTTTTTTTTTGTGGAAGACCTAAAGATGCATTATTGTAGATTATTCTCATACAAAAACACCAAAATAAGGCACAGTCATACTCGCTCCCAGCAGTTGGTTGGTAGGTGCTCTGGTGTTTGTCTGTTCCTTCTTTCCTATCAAACATCTATAGTCCTGGTCTCTCCTCCTTTTTTATATTTATTCCGCTCTTGTTACACCTCTGATCGTTGGTACTTAAATTATCTAATTGAAATAGTTTTGCAAGTGCTATAAAACGCTTGCTAAAACTTTTTGTTTTATAAAGCCATACTTATACCCTGACCAAAATTTCCACTCCGTTGTCATATCAATGGCAGAATTTTGGTGTCGATTTTTTTCATTAAAAAAAATAATAATGATGAAGAAGAATGAATGAATATACCCGCTCAGCAGCAAGCTCTATGCACTTGACAGTCTATATTATATATATTATTACCCCAGCGAACCCACAGCTAGAACAGTTGGAAAAAATCTCAGCTTTCCGGGAAGTATACAGTGCAAGCAGTCGATTAAGTGCTCAAACGCTACCAAACTGACTAGATCTTTTGTTGTCTGTAGCTGGATACCCATTCCATGCCATGAACACGTGTACCTATGCTCTTCCCCCCAATCTAATCCGCCCCTATAGTACACCTAGGACCCCTTGTGTAAGGTGTACGCAGTAAAAGCCCCTCGTCTGCTGACCATATATCCGACCTCTCCCAACCCTGGCTCGCGCTAAGAAACGTCATGTCTTAAGTGAGTGTCAACATCACATGTCTTGATGTGATAGAAGACTTGTGGTTGGTCACTTTGGGTGTACGCAACAGGCTAGATGTGTAATAATCTAGGATGTGGATGCGACCGATGGTCCCTTGTAATACAGTAGATTTATAAGCTTCGTTGCTGGAGAAAAGTTTTGAAGACACATCAGCGGGGCCTGTTCGCCCAGCAAGCGACTTCGTTGAAACCGAGTTTGCTCATATGTGTGTCCGTTGAATCCGAGATATTTTTGTGACTTAATCGAATTTAAAAAGTCCGTCCCCTTTTGCTGAACCTGACCTCGTTGCATCCGAGTTTCATTGTGTTACTTGAGTTTTTATGACAATATGACTTATTGAAACACAACTTGTTGAAATTCCCCCAGATAGGCCTACATGTACCTACGAGGGTGTGGTGGCGGAGCGGTTAGTGCGCTGGTCTCCGAAGCGGAAAGTCCGGGTTCGATACTCGGTTCGGACACGCATTTTTTCGCCTCCTCCTGCCCACCCAACAGTAACCTGACTTCGAGTTGGGGAATTAAAGGCGTCATGGAAAGGAACTGGCCACCCTACCATAATATGCCGAAGGCCCAGGAAGTTGTCTCACTAATAAGGCAATCCCTAAATTCGAATGTCCAGATCGGATGCGGGAACAACTCTTTACATGTACCTACATTGCTGTACAATGTATATGCGTACCAGTGCCCTTACTGATATTGATATAATTCCACTCTGACCCATTTTAAGTACCCAAACTGCAGCTTGTGTATTCAGCTTATTGATTGTCATGTTTGACGTTCTTTTCTTTAAAAACTTGTGTAGTGTCCTTGTTTTCTTCTTTCTTCTTCTTCCTCGTTCTCGATGACAGCAGCTTGACAGTCAGTCCGATGTCGCGCACCAACAGTGCAGTTCGCTTCAACTTTGAGAAACTGCCATAGAGCTTTTCTCTCAAGGGGAGCCACATATATTTCTGCCTCGTCTGTGTACAAAGTGTGGCGCAGCGCGGGAAGTGCTGAAGGATATGGTTGGCATGTGCAGAGTCCAAGTCCTTTGGGCATAAGAGAAGGACAGTGAGATTTGACTTTGCAATTTTGCCTAATAAAAATGCCGTTGATAATTTTATCTCTGGTGGGGACCTGTTATTGTTTCTTGTGAATGCAATCACAGGAATTTGCGGGTGGTTGATGGATGCTATGGTGAGACCAAGCTTCATATGACAAACTGAGCTGTGTTCCCAGATAGAAAGGGTGGAGGCGAGTGAAGAAGAGAGAGAGAGAGAGAGGAAGAGGAGGAGGAAGAGGTAGAAAGGGTGGTTGAAGAGGGGCAGAAAGGAGCATTATGATAATAATGTGATATTTAATTAAACTTATAATAATGATCATGAAAATCCTTTCTACAGCGCCCACTTCCAACTCTAGGCACATTACAACTTTTGTTTTTTGCCCAAACACAAAATTGATACATTAATTTGCTTGAACATGCATACGAGTGCGAGTATGACGAAATCCGATATATTATAGATCTATTATATATAATTTTGTACCTTTCAAAGCGGGTCTGGAAAAGGGGGGTGGGGGTATAAGAGACCCAATCAACGAATATTTCAAGCAAGACTAGGACTATAATGTTATTATTCAGCGTGTCCCGACTACAATAACAGGGCTGCCGGGACCGATGTGATGTCCTTGTAAATGACGACGAGGATTACGTTTACAAAGGGAACATCAATATGTATTACATGGATTACCCACTAGGCTACCAATAAAAATCACCAACTTATATTGCTAACTTTCTTTTCCAGTGGTATATTTTCCCTCACTTCAACGTAGTCTCATGGAGGTTGCCTGGACATAATTAAAATTGCAGGTGTCTAGTTTGTTCACTTTCGTCTGACCGTGGTTAAAACAAGGTATGAAATTGCTACATGTGTTTTTAATATTTTCATACCTTTGCATAGGTCTACATTAGTTATAATAGCTTGTTCATTTTTGTCTAACCGCGGTAAAAGCAAGTTAAAATGAAATTAATCGCTCAGATCTTTGCATACGGGTCAAAAAGTTGGACGACCAATAGAATCTAAAAGCCCGTTCATAAAGGTCACTGCAAACAAAGGTTCTGGCGCGTTTTCTTTGATGTTAGCCTAAAGCAGGGGGTTGGGTTTTTTTTTTAAATAAGGGGATTTACAGCATTCACCGAAAACATTCACACGTTGACATTAAAATGTTCCTCAACACCATATATACTTTAATTACATGAAACACGAATCAAGAGACAAATGTACGTGAGTACTCATAGGGTTAAATCTACAAGAAAACTGAAATTATGTGGGGGCAAGGAGGTACGTGCAGGCCTACAGCTGTCTCATAATGAGCCATTTGTAGGCAAAGTTAGTATATATATATATATTATATCCTGTGTATGCACACAAAGAGAGAGATTTTGACTTAAATAATATAAAAGTAAAAGTAGAGAAAGTTTTACAATATTTTTTTTCGAAGAAAACCAAGTAGTCTAAGAAGTCCATTCTATATTCTCTTCCCATTAATTACGATTTCTTTTTTCGTGTGCGAGTGTTTTCTTTTATCACCTTTCAACTGTCAATAACCCTGCCTCCACACCCGTGTCTGATTAAATGCGTGTTTCACTTTGAGGAAAAGAAATGTTTTAACAAAAATTTATATCAGTAAGCCTAGATCTAGTTTATAACCTCTGACCAGAAGTCAATAAATTAAGCCGTGTTTGAAATGCATTTCAATTTACTGTTATGTTTTATAAAAATAGAACATTTCAAAATATCTGAAAATCCAAATCGCTCAAGGGGTGTGGCGGAAGTAGTAGATCAATTGCCAAATTTTCGGCAAGATCTTTTTGTGGTAGGCAAATGCTTATTTTTGTGTAAGATAGGCCTACTGGCCTACCTCGAAATTCCACTGAAACGCAAACTTTTGGTAGTAGACTCACTGCTTTACATTAAAAGTGGTTTAAACTAATATATTGCAACTTTGTAACATGTCCCGTAGCCTTGCCCGTAGCCTACCAAATGGAAAACCGTGACTCGGAGTTTTTTTGTGTGCCATTCCCGAGCTCTTCAGTTGTTGATGTAGATGTCTCTGGTCTGGACTGTTGACCTCTTTAGAAAAGCAACGGACCAAAACAATAATCTGGAGCAGAGATACAAGCTCAGAATTGTGTCTCTGTGTGTATAAAAAGTAGACTGCGGCCGGACTTCGAACTTCGAGCTCAAACTTTGCTCTTCGTGCAACGTTTTAGAATTCGTTAAGTCTAGAATCTAGATTCTAGTTATAATAGATAGAGGTGACAAGGTAGAGACTAACTAATTTGCAAAACTACTGACTTTCTTCAGTCTTGAGGAGCTCGCTGAGCAAAAAAAAAGTAAACAAGCTTGCTGCACTTTGTTGGAGTGGATCTGAAGTGTCAAGATCCAAAAAAAAGGTCTCGCCAGTCAGTCAGTCCTGTCAGCCTGTCGGAGTGTGTGAGTCCATTCAAATTCATTCATGCCCGCGAAGTAGGCCAAAGGCTGCGTACAAGAACTCCAAGCAATATTTGTGTTTTCTCTTTCCATTCACTCAGCAAAGGGGTTGTAAGTTAAATGTTGTGAAGAGTGTTTTTTGTGATTACAACCACCCTCCTCCCTTTTCCTTTTTGGTATTCTTTGCTTTCACTGAAGTTGTCTTTATGCTCAGGTTTTGTAAGGTCCTTAATAAAATTTCTCGTTCATTAGGCCTAGATCTAGAGGTAAATTTGTACTTTCACTCCCGAACACTGATGCACTGCCACGGGGGTCAAACTGCAGTAGTGTTGTTTGCTGCAGATCAAGACATAGATTTCTATATATCAATTGCGTAGTGACTATTTCTCCGAACGCTCTGGAAAATAAAGTTGAACTCTATTTCTCCAAACGGTTTCTGATCTCGAGATTTTTTGATTATTTGCGAGATTTGGGCGTCATCCTGTCATTCTGCCGTTCTGCGAGGACTGGGTGGAAGCATTTTTTGCATCGAATTTTATTTCTAGAGCTAGAGATTTTTAAATTTCAGAATATTCAGATACTTCAGTTGTGGTTGGGGCAACGTTCCCGGACTATACTTCATTTTAAAATCTTTAAAAAAGGTACACTTTGAGAAAACAAGACAGCTCGACCTTGGCAGACCTATATTTTGCATTTAGTCACCAAGCAAAAGCTAAAATCTTTCATGGAAAAAAAAAATCCCCCCCCCCCCTGTTCACACCTTACACACACACTACACACACACGCACACACACACACACACACACACACACACGCACACTCACACACACACATGCACACTCACATACACACACACTCACATACACACACACACGGGCCACTCCATTCACTTATTATCAACATATCTCGAGAACGGAAATCGTTCGGAGAAATAAAATTCAATTTTATTTTCCCGAACGTTCAAAGAAATAGAGCCGGCCTTGATCATGGCCACTTAAACTGTCGCAAATCAATGATTTTTTTTTACCCCAGTGCGGGCAGGCCCCCCCGTTTGGTCCAAAGCGCGCAAATTACTACGAGGTTAGTCATACACATTGTGTGATAGCTTGATTAAAATCAATCAAATATTTCAAATACTATTAATTTGCTACGTTGGGAAGGAGTTCCGTAACGAGTGACCACCCTAACAAACACAATAAAGAAGAGACCTACCTAACCCTACCACCCTAACCCTGACCCTAACCCTAACCCTACCCCTACCCCCATCTCTACCCCAAACCCTACCCCTGGCCTCTATTCTACTCTTGTCTCGTAGTGGTCGCTCGTTACGGAAGTCCTCCCTGAAGTTAATATTCGTGTTCAGTGTATAGTGTATCAATATAATTTAGTAGAAAATGAACAACTGGTAAAGTGTGAGATGGGAGAGAAAGTAAAAGAAGAATATATATATATATATTACCGTTTATTTTTATATCCTTTTTAAACAAATAATGACTTAAATACTTTATATGCCATTGGACTTGTCTTGCAAATTTTATAATATTTGAATGGTTTCTGTTCATCTATAAAGCCGAATTCAGTAATTGCGTTGTAACTTAATTTCTGTGCTTTGAAACAATCGGGGGGTTATTTTAGTTTACAAGTGAAAGTGGCTATTCTTTGGCATCGTAACGGTCAGTAAATCGATATCTATTCTCTGGCATCACGTACAGTTGCACCTGTCACTTCCCCTCAGCATTCCATCTCCCCTGTTGGCACGTTATGGCCATTATTGTTGCACCTGAGTTCAGTGCCAGATGCGCCTTCTCGTACTTCTGGCGATGACTGAAGGCTGTTGGCGCTTGTGGTGTTGTCACCTCTGACACAGAAATTCCTCCTTCTTCCGTCACTGGAGCTTTCATTGAAATTGTGTTGTGGCTGCGTGTCCAATTATGGTGAATGGCATTTTGAAGAAATGCCGACCCTGATGAGTGTTTGTGTAAAAGGCCAAATGCCGACAGGGGAGATGGAAAGCTGTGAAGCAACATCATATGTGCAACTATGCATGACACCGGAGTTAGCCATCGATCTAATGACCGGACTAAACTGCCGTAATTTCTGCTGCAGAACACAATATTATAATGTTCTTGCTTGTATTCACTGTTACAGGTTAATAAACCAGTCACCATGAAATCAGCTCTTATCATTGGAGCCACACGGGGCATTGGAAGGCAGATTGCGAAGACTTTTTCAGAGAATGGTTACAGAGTCTGCGTTTCAGCGAAGACTACAGAGTCTACGGAGAAGACACCAGGTGAGCTTTTGGCTGCAATTCATTCTTTTACATAAAGCTCTCCCTATTTTGAATTGAATTTTATGTTTACTTATAAAATATTTTCCATTATAAAACTATGGCATCGGTGGCCTAGTGGTTAGGCTCTCAGACTCGCAACCGTAAGGTCATGGGTTAGAATCCCGTCAGGGGCCTGACGTTGTGTCCTTGGGAAAGGGACTTTACACAAATTTTCCTCACCTCACCAAGGTGGGAATGAGTACCCAGCTATAGACCGTGAAAGATCTTGTCAGTTTGTGTTTGAGCACGTAATCAACTGCTTGCACTGAATGCTTCCCAAGAAGCTGAGAATGTTTCTGAGTGTTCTTTGGTCTTCTGGGGTAATAATATGGTGTAAAGTGCATTGATCGTGCTGTTTAGCGGGGATATAATGCACTAAACAACTGCTGTTAAAATTATAAATTATTATTATAAATATTGTTCTGAGAGCTGTCACTTTCTGTTTCTCACACTTGTTGAAAGGGTGGAGAGGGATGATAATCATGTTTTATCATTTTATTTTGTAAATAGAGCCCACAACAAGATTAGCAAAAATATGGATTTATGTACATTTTAAGTATGCTCCTTCGTGGTGTTAAACTTTGTGTAAGGACAAGGTTTTCGTCTTTCCTCAGGGTCAGTGTATGATGTGGCTAATGAAATTGTACAGAATGGAGGAGAGGCCTTCCCTATCAAATGTGATGTAAGGTCTGATGAGAACGTTCAGGCAACTATTGACACCTGCATCGAAAAATTTGGACAAATCGATGTTGCAGTGTATAATGCAGGTGAGATATTTGTTTTCAAATAATTTCCTCTCTTGGAAGACTCTATACTTGTTGAAATTGTTAATTTTACAGATTTGATAGACATTCTGGTACTGTGAATTCAATGACATAAGTTTTAGATTTATATATTATTTTTGAAAATCTGAAATTTTTATGGACTTACTGTTTTGCTATTCTGTCTTGGAATAGCAACAGAGGTACATTGAGTTTTTTTAAGACATTGCAGTATTTTCTTCATCTTTGTGTCATGATTTAATTACCACAAAGGGATCTTTATCAAGCCTGCCATGTTTTGTGAAGACTTGAAAGCTCTTTTACAGAGCTTTGTAGACTAGTGAAATAAGTGCATGTTTGTAAGAATTACTTTGGCTAAATAATTCTCTCAAACTTATATAAATAGTAGGCATGTGCTTCTAAAATTTCATTCTCCTGAGCCATCCCACTTAATATGGGGTATTGTCTAAAAGTGGAGCTCATGTACACAATTGAGTATTTCTTGGCCAAGGTTAGTTTTTAAAAATGTTAATGTAATACTTATTGTATTTTTAACTGTGATTATTGCCAACAGGCTCTGTTAATCACTTCAAAGTACACCTATTCTGTAATTCCTTAATACCACAAATAAATGGCTCTCTCTTTCTCTTTCTCTCTGTCTCTCAGTCTCTGTCTTTCTGTCTCTATCACTGTCTCTTTCTCTCTGTCTCTGTCTCTCTCCTCTCTCTCTCTCTCTCTCTCCCTCTCTCCCCCTCTCTCTCTCTCTCTCTCTCTCTCTCTCTCTCTCTCTGTCTCTCTCTCTCTGTCTCTCGCTCTTTCTCCTCTCTCTCTTTCTCTCTCTCTCTTTCTCTCTCTCTCTCTCTCTCTCTCTCTCTCTCTCACACACACACACACACACACACACATACACACACACACATACATACACACACAGACACTCACACGCACGCACACACACACACACACTCAAACACTCCGTAAAAAATGTATCTTTTGTATTCTCGTGTTATTAAGGGCATTTTTTACTTTTTGCTTACCTCAGGAGCTATTCTGTGGAAACCTGTTGTGGAGACACCCCTCAAGCGATGGGATTTGATGAATGAGGTCAATGCGAGGGGGTCTTACAGCATGGTGACAAAATTACTGCCTCATATGCTAGATCGAAAAAGTGGAAGACTTATTCTTGTCGCGCCACCAATCTACAACAGGTATAATGCCTTTTTTGGCGTGTAGCCAATCGCTACTCTAGTTTTGAGAAATTTGGCATGAAAAAATTTGAGTTTCACGTGTCAAGCTTTTAATATCCTGATAACGACTCTGAATAATCTCAATACATCCATAAATGTCAGATAGAATATTCTAATTCTAATGTAGCAAAATAATGCAATGGTTTAGTGTTCATCGTACTTTATATTTTAATTTTTGTTGTAAATAATGTAAATGCTTAATTTTGTTTGTTTGCAGTTTTTGGCTTTTCTAAGGACTGAGGAGATGGAAGGGTTTTTTTTTTTTATCCAAGGGATAGTTTCAATCTGAAGGGAGGGGGGGGGATAGAATTCTCAACAGAAGCAAGCAAATAATGTACACTAATTGTCTAATTCACTCACATTTTTGTCCTCTCTTTAATAAAAATTTCCTTCTTTTACTATTTGTCAGGTTTTTCAAAGGAAAAACACCGTACTCAATGACGAAGATTGCCATGACAACTCTTGTTCATGGGCTGGCTAACGAGCTGGCAGGGACTGGTAAGAGTATAGACCCCCTTTGTCTGAACCCAGATAACTATTGCAGGGCTGTCCAACATTATGAATTTGGTGGAATCTTTAAGACTTATTCAGTTTTACGGAAATTGGATTGTAATACCCCTGATTCTGATATTTTTCAAACTTTTGGCTACCCCAACCTACTGCTATCCTTCTTTGTGTGAAAGAAGAAAAACGACCAGACCCGAACGGTCACAATGTCGCAATGTTACTTGCAGATCAAACTTTAACACCCTCTCTGCATTGAGCCCTTGTAGTCGCTCAGTGCCACTTTCATTTTAGAAGTGTCAAAGTCATTTTGTGAATATTAAAACCAGATTACTAAATTTATTGTGGAGTCTGTTTTTAAAAACGGAAATTTGTGGTAACACCATATTTCTTTGAAGTAGCCGATTAATCAGTTTAGAAATGTTGCTTGAATAGAAGAAAAAACATTGTGGTTTTTTTCTTTTGCATTACTGGTATTTTCAGGTTAACCATTTTTGGTTTAAGAGGATTCCACTGTATTTGTTGATATTAGGGTGTGATATTTTCATTTTCTTGTATGCTTGAGAGTCGCAGACAATGATTGTAGTACTTTGAAGTGTAAGATTCAGTTCTTAACACGAAATGCTATCAAAGACCCCTAGGTGTATCCTACAGAGATCACATGATGAGTATTCCCAGAAGTTATGGAAAGAATTGAACAAGATGGTCGGCCTTTTTTCACTCTGAACGTACGTGCACAAACTGAAATGTTTTGGGCACATTTCAAGATTATGCTGACAATATCGAAGGCTGTCCCACTGGGCACAGTGACAGTACATGGAGGCAGAGGGAGAGGAAGACAGCAAAACAGATGGGAGGATAACATCTCATAGTGGAGTGGCCTGAAAACCTTCAAAATGTGTTATGTTTCTAGCAGGAGGTTCTTATACCTAACAAAACCAGAAGAAGTTATTTGGGATATTCAAACACTTTGATTTTTTTTTCCAGAGTAAGAGACGTGATTTTTTTTTCAACCTGTTGGTGCTTGATTATATCAAGTTTTTCTGTTACAGGCGTTTCCATCAGTGCCATTTGGCCGGCCACTGTTGTCGAAAGTCAAGTGACTGTTGTGCAAAAAATACCCCCTGCATATTATCGAAAGGCCACAGTATTTGCGGATGCTTGTCTTGGGATTGCAGAAGAAAAATCTGAAAAGTAAGTCTCGACTGCAAGTTGTGCATAAAATTGATTTACATTGGATGTATGAGCCATTCTCAAAAGTACTGCCAACTAACATTGCAACTTAGGAATATTTTTGGACAGTCAATTTGAATTTTTTGCTTTTCTGACTTTAATGCTGTCTAAGCTGAGCGTTATTTATAAAAATTTTGAACCATTTAATTTGAGAAAATAATCTAACACAACTTTATGAATAGAAAAGTTTTCCAGATTTTCTACCCCTGTACTGCACACTCATCACTTGACCTATTGGTGACATGGATGGGTTTGCCTCATTTTTTTCTTTCAAATTACTGTACTAGCAAGCATCATGTTGAAATTTGCACATACGGTTAGATTAAAACGCTTTAGGGTACTTATTCTTGACATTTTTTACACAATTCTAAGGAAATGCCAAAAAAAAGCAGTGCTCAATGATGTGAGTGTCCACACTTTTGTATTCTTTTGACCAAATGTCAAAAATACAATTAAAATGTTGTCTAGTATATGGCCGCTTTTAAGGACAAGCAGGCTAACCCAAATTTCAGGGGTTTCCAGAAATCTTGACCAACACCAAAAGTGGGCATTGCCCTACCAATATGAAAAGTTTGGTTTCATTGGTGTTTTTATTTGTTTGGTTATAGAGAAAACTCTCCTTGTCTTTTAAAGAAACTGAACCAGGGTCCAAAACTTTTTACCTTTGATTTTCTCAAGACATTTTTCGGGATCGCCCCCTTGTGTTTAAAAGCGACCATTTTATATACTGTTACCTTTGTTCATTTAGCTTGAGTACCTTTGACTGTCCAATTGGTTTGGTACTCTCAGAAGTGGTCTTTGTCAAAGATGTAACTTTATAATGCAGCACAAATGAACTTGACAAGCATAGCATTTTCTGGAAACATTGACGAACAACGACGTATTAGATAGTTGATTGTTAGATCCCTCCTGAATTCAATAAGTTGGAATACAAGTGTTTGCATCAGACATGGGCTATAATCATGTGATTGATGTAAAGCGCTCAGAGCTTATACTCATTTGGGATAGAGCGCTATATAAATGCAATCTATTAATATTATTATTATTATTATTCATTGCCCATTTTCAATTTCTCTTATGGACTAGTTAAGTTGTTTCAAAACAGGCGTTTTCTGTTCTTCTAGCCTGTCAACTATGAGTTGAACCAACATGGGCCGGAGCACCAGGGTCTGTGGTGTAGCAGTTAGGCACTTTGTCATCACACGCAGGAGACCTAAGTTGAATTCCTAAAATGGGAGAATTTTTATCGAGTATCTTGGTCTTTCTTGTAAGATGTGATGTAGTATTCCTCTCTTTCTGGTTGGCTCTGACAGGCAGGGTGGAAGCCTGCCTCCTAAATGATTGATTGAAATTGTTTTGTTGGGGATGTAAAAACACCTACGATTATATAAAAGGAAAGAAATTTTTTTTCCAAGGCTAAGGCTTTCACAGAGTGGAAATTGAACAGATTACAGTAGTCTAGCCTTCGACTACAGGTGCATTCGTCCATTTCGGTTTATACCGGTGTAACGTCTAGTTTGAGAGCTTGACCACTTACTCAATGAAAAGAACAAAATTTGTGTTTTGATTGAAAAACAACTAATTTTTGCAAGTGGTCGGAGGGCGCCACTGGAAGGTCAGCTCTCTCTTGCTTTTACTTTGAAACTTTTTTTTTCTGTCGATCTCTCTTGCTTTTACTTGGTGCCGTGACCAAAACTGAGTCGATAGTGTAGTAAATCACCTTCACAAACAAAACAAACCGACTGTGTGCCTTTTTTTTCTGTCAGTTTCTCTTGCTTTTATTTTGTGCTTAACCACCATTATCTGCAGCAATCTGTTTCTAATTGTTAATTTCAAACACAAACCCTTTGAATTATCTGTGCTCCAGGCTCAATGGTAAGGCACTGCTTGATGAGGATTACCTGAGGTCAGAGGGAGTGAGCGACTTCACAAAGTATCGGGCTGACCCTGACAAGGAACCTCCACGAATGATGCCCAAAGAGCTTCCGTCGCTTTTGGTGGCCGAGGAAAATGATCCTCCGTTGTCGTCCAACTTGTGAGCTGTTCTCGTCTAAGATCAAACGTTCAAGGGAGATTGGCGGCAGAATGTTTGCTAAGTGCCAGTGTAGCAAAGTTTGTTTTACTAAGTGCCTAGTTTATCAAGGTTTGTGTTGAGAGTCAGGGAACACGGAACTCAGGATTTCAGTAATACTATTGTTGATGCCATTGTTGTTGTTGCTGCTCTAACTTTTTATAGATCTAAGCACTGTCTCGCTTGCCCATAGCGAAACAGGCACAATGCGAACAGATTTTAAAGGCTCAATTTTTTTCTGATACGTGTATTTCTTTTTATATTTAAAATACGTACGTTGAGAAATTTGTAAATAGTGAAAATAGGTTTGCGTGTCCATTTTGTTTTCGCTCTGTGTGTGGCAGACTGAATGTTGAAAAAGCTGTTGTATTCGCCCAAATAATATGAAAGATATTTGTGAAATGTATCTCTGTGTTTTTGTTCATGCTTATTGTTCCATTCCTAATTGTATTTCACTGGGGACATTCAAGTGTTCGGATTAGAAATTCGGAATCGTAATAAGGTTGATTAGATTCTCAGTGGTGTGGTTAAACCGTCATAGATGAGCGACGAGAAGAACATGAACGCAGCAAAGATCATGTAGTGCTTAAAAAAAAAAGAGTAAAGTTGACAGAAAGAGAAAGTTTGGGAATAGTAATATAGTACTAGTACAACCTATTGGTGCCATCTTTAGTTGTCATTTCTTTACGTCACAGACGTGTAGGACCGACCTACCAGTGGCACTCTCCATCAACTAGCACTGAATAAACTTATCATGTAGAATAGAATCTCTTTTGCTAATAAGCTAGTTAGGAGATTCTCAACTACAGTATAGCACATTTATAGCCATCAGATTTCCAGGTCCCCAATTTTTTTTTTTTTAATTCATGACTTGTATTAATTTGTATTCAAAAGACATGCATTGCAATATATCCGTACATAAAAGGAAAAGATTTCCATGTCCAGGCAGTTTTGCTGTATGCATACTAGATTATTCTAGACTGTGTAAAAGAATAATCGGAGCATCTGACTGTAGGATCTTGCCTGTGCTGGTTGTGATGTTTTTGGGTTTGTTTATTTTTGTTTTTCCTATGCATGAAAATGCATTATGCTTTTCTGACTTTCCAGTTTTTTATACATATTTTTTCTGAACAATTTGGTATGTAAAATGTTATAATAATGTTCAAATCAAATTATGAATAGATCTTTATATATTATATATAAAAGTACAAGATGGGAAAAATACATGTTTAAGGAGCTTGGCCTTCACCAAACTCATCCACTGGTAGTGTTATCTTCTGGATGACAGCAACTATGTGAGAGTGAGACTGTTGATGTGGGTGGTTGGTGGGTGCTCTGTTGTGGTTTGCTTCTTCTTTCCTATCAAACAAGTAGGGCCTATCGTCTTTATCTCTCCTCCTTCTATTTTATATTTGTTTACTCTCTTGTAACACCTCTAATCTTCAGCACTTATATGACCTTATTGTGTTGCAAGTGCCGTAAAACGCTTACTAAAACAAACTGTTGATCTCTTGGGCTAGTTCTGCTTAGTCCCAGAGAAGGAAACTTTTTGAGTTACGTCTTTTTATCTGCAGACAGCTGCCTTGCCTTGTTCAATGTTTCTGCTGTGATAGACTTGTGTGTTTTTCTTCTGTTTGTGTATTGGTTGATTGTGAATTATACTGAACAGGTTATATGCGATAAATATATTTGAAACTGTCTTTTAAATGTGTATTATTTTTTTAATATTAAACATTTTTTCTGTGCTGATTTTGTCTCTACTCAGTTATTTTAGACCAAATGCTCATACATGGTATCCATATTTTTACAATATGATGATGTTCAGAAAAATGTGTTATTTTCTTCATTAAGCAGAGTATCGGTTTATCATTAAAAGTTTTCATGCATAAAGGATGAATTACACTAAATTACAGTGTTGTCATTTCTTTGCTGGTTTCCACCAAATTCTTTGAAAGGATTATTTTTCTCCTAAACAAAGACAGCGAATTATCATCACCATCATCATCATCGGCCTTTCTCACCACCAACGAGAATTCTCCATCATATACTTTTGTCCTGGACTATTGTCTCCATCTCTGTCCAGTCAAACTGTATCCGTGGACAGTTGACTGGTGCTCTGGTATGGTTTGCTCCTTCTTTCCTATCAAATGTCTATCATCCTAATTTCTCCTTTTTTTTTTCTCTTGTGTTTGTTACTATCTTGTAACACCTCTAATCTGTAGTACATCAATTAATTTTATGTCATATTTAAATGATCAGAACATTTGAAAGACATTAAAAATAATTAACTGTAGTCATTTGAAAAAAAAAGTACTTTATGCAAATTATGTGACTGTGACGTTTAGTTTCGGTAAACGACAGGATAACTGAGATATTTTTCACGTCATGTCATTTACAGAAACTGAACACGTGACGGAATTTCCATTATAAAGAATTTTTTTTTCCCCAGATGACTGCATTTAAATATGATTTTTAACTTGTCTTTCACATGTTCTGGTCATTTAAAGTTGAAATAAATTAAAAGATATTGAATTACAGTGTTATCATTGTAAGAAAGTATAATCCAAATGTCCCTCAGTTACTGTGGAATAGCCCTACTACCCCGAAAATGTATCAAGACTTCAAAATCCTTTCCTTGAAATGGGAGAGCCCAGCTCGTGGCAGACCCAGATGAAAAGTTCAGCAAAGTAGCAGTCACAGAGAACAGTGATATTTGAGGCTTTATGGATCTGAAAGTTGAGAATTTAATGTGCTCCTGTAGGCCTACTATAATGTAAATGCACTGGTCATCTTCATACATTGACGGACGAGCTATTAATTTAATTATAAATTATCCTGTTATGGGCGCAGATAATAGGCCTTCATATCATTATCATTACACAAGTGGGCACAGGGTTATACTATACTGCCGTGCCATACAGACCGACGTATCTTCAAAAATTAATTTTTGCATTTTCATTTAAATGGGCGCCTACACCCTCTCTGCATCTTGTAAGAAAAAGCAGGAAGACGTATACTATCAGCACGACAAATAGGAAACTTCACTATGACAAATAGACGTAACTGAAGGGCCATGCTCATATTTCCAATGGCTGTGCGACGTAATTCAAAATCATTTAAAACAATGCAGATAGGCCTACGTCGCTCTGCCTTGGCACGGCAGTATAACTGCAGAAGAGGGAATTTTTATTGTTCCTATTGAGTTTATGTGTTATACTTCACTGAGCACCAGGTTATGGTATTACAAAGCAGGCGAGTACTAAGATTAAGAAGAGATATCACGTTGAGCAGGAATGTCATGTAGTCCGAAAAGGACAAAGTCTCTCTTTCTCTCAAATTCAAACTTATGAAGTTTTCGAGAAAAAAAATGTACGGCACTTGAAACCCAATATAAGACCATGTAAGTGCCGAAACTTAGTAGTAGTGTTACAACAGCAGTAACAAACACAAAAAGAAGGAGAGAACAGGATGATAGAATGTATTTGATGGGAGAGAAGGAGCAAACCACAGCAGAGCATCCACCAATTTTAACCTCCCGAATTCAAACTTTCATTCTTGGTTTTCTGATAAGTCCATAAAAACAAAGTGTGCCATGGTCATAGCAGAATGTTGTGGAAGTTTTATTTTAAGCTTTTCGCAAGAGAAATTGCATATCTCTCCACAATTACATGTATTGTCCTATATCTTCAT